GTTTGGCTAGACAGCTGCATACAACGAACGATGCGTGAGCCGGCGCAATGTCATGATGCAAAATAAAAGTTCGCTTTTTACACAGGTTCAATATACTGGTCCCACAAAATTTGGTGGTATGATTCTATGCTGGCTCCCACTCAGTCGTCGTCATGACCATCATCAACAGCAGCAGTACATCAGCCATATGAACCATTGCTACGCTGCTGTATAACCGCGGTAATCTATGAAGCGAAGAATAATAAGAGGGACAGAAGAGAGACCAAGCATAAAACTTTAGTGCCTAAACAAACATTCAGGGTCGAGGCGCTTACACTTTGTCAACAGCGTACCGTCACAAGCAGCTGGCTATCGTAGAAATATAAGGCGGCATCGGCAAGACAGCTTACTTGTGGCTTTCAACGCCCTGCGTCACAGTCAACTATTATCTCGCAGAGAACTAGTAGTAACTACACTTTAAACAAGCAGACCGGCTAGGCGATGACACCGCACGTGCCATTGATGCCGACTGTGATCCATGTTCTGTGGCGTTTCAAGCCAACCACAAAACGGGTTACCTGGACTCTAGCCTGGAAGGCGAGACGGACCAGCTGCAACCAATTTGGTCGTCAGTGACTTGATTTTTCATTGCCAAGTCTCACTCCCAAAGAGTAGGAAGGCCCACACTGGGCCTTTCAGACCGGTGGAAACCCATTTCCGACGCCATAGAGGTCGCAGATTCAAGAAGGCAGTTTTAGCTTTTGCAATACGTGAACTGACATCAGCGCCTAGGTGACTATCGTTGTAGATGCAGCTGCCAAGGTAAGTGAAGTGATCAACTTCCTCGAGTTCCTCGCTATCAAGAGTCGTCAAGTGTCTTGTGGTCCTGCAACAACATTTTCACTTTGAAGGCGCGAAGCGCATGCCAAATAGACAATTTTTGAGACGTTATTCAGGGTTGGCTGGGCCGCATCAACATCATTAAACAGCAAGACAATATCGTCCGCATAATCGAGATCAACTAGCCTTTCGCCAGGCAAAACCTCAACAGCTGTGCCATGAGAGTCCGCAAGGGAAAACTCTATGATGGAGTTCATGACGAAGTGGGGAAATCGGGCAACTCTGATGAACATCACTTGTAGTCAGAAAGATATCCGACAGGTCGTCATAGGCCCTGACGCGGCCCGTGGCGTTCAAGTACAGGGAACACGTTCCGCGCAAGTATTTCCAACGGAATAGATCGATCGACTGAGCTGAATGCACTCGTGAAATCAAGGAACAGAGATATTGTCGGTCTGCGCTATGTGTGACGTTTCTCTAACACCTGCCGCAGAGTTAATATGTGATCTATACAGCCCAGCACCGTGCTTACTTTTGCCTACTCCGGGATTCCCGTTTGCAGTAAGCTGATGGAGAGAATTGATGGTAGTAATTTTGTCACAACCGGCGTTAGGGCTAGTAGCCCTGTGGTCAGCACAGTCACTGAGATTGTCCATCTCGTATATTGCCACTAAAATTGATGCACCCCAATTACCTGGGAAGGTCTTTGTCTTCCAGACCTGTTCGAACAAGGAAGTTAGTGTTTTGCAGAGGACCTTAGCACTATCCTTAGATAGCGCAGGTGAGAAGGAATCCGGGCTAGCAGCTCGAAAAGGATTAAGGGCTGTGATCGCGTTTCGGACCTCAGCCTCCGATGGGGTATCTAAAAAAACCGGCCATGGTTCAGCCTCTAACTCCTGAGTAGGAAGAGGTCTGGAAGCAAAAGGCCAAGGTAACTGAGTTTGAAAGTGCTCAGCCCAGCGAGGCATTCGGCACCCCTTATCGTGAATCACTGCACTCGCGTTGTCTCTGATTATCTCACTGACGCCTGGTTTTCTGGGACTAGTGGTGTGGATCAGTTGGAGGAGCTTGTGATAGTTGCCTACTGCTCCGGCCTCTTCCATTTTTGAGCCCTACTGGTTCACCAAGCTTTCTTGTCAAAACGCAGCCTACGCTTTAGTTCGCGCCTTATAGTCCGTCTGATTGCATTGTGCTAAAACGAAGCCAGGAATTTTTCTTCTGCATTTCAACAAGTTCTAGTAGTTTTGGTGGTGAAGATTGATAATGCCGCAAGCAGAAGCTGCCGCGTCGTGCATGGCGGTCAAAATTCGATCCCACTGAAGTTAGTGTTATGCGAGAGAGAGAGAGATTTCAGCGTGCAACGCAGCCCGGTGGCCTTGCCTGACAGATCGTTGGGATAACATCTAAGTTGGCAATCGAACGAGACGATTGGTACGCCTCCCGGTAAATTTCATGGAAAAACGACAGGATATCACGACATGATCAGAGTCGACGCAAGTATTTCATAACGAGCGGCAATCCAATTTGGAACCACGCCACCTGTAACTTATAGAAACGTGATCCATTTGGGTCCATCGCTGGCCAGCACTATAGAGGAACATCCACTGGCGCCTACTGTCCAAAAGCGGTGCTACGAAGAAACAGCTGATGTTTCGCGAAGTTGCAACAGCCGTTCGCCGTTGACCGTCTAGGCGGAGTTAAGTCAATACTTACCATCTAGATGAAGTTCCGAAGAGCCCAGGCGACATGCGCATTCATGTCCCCTGCAAGAACTGTAACATATGAACTGGGAACACTGCGTAGTAGCGTCTTCAGTTCGTGACAGGTGTCCCTTGCAGCATCAGAACTGCAGTCGGTGGGTACATACGCGGAAACCACAAACATCACCTAATGCTACTTCGTGAATCAATTTTAGTTGACGTCGTCAAACGGGCTGCACATAAACAGATGTTTACGAGAATCTAATCAACAAACGATGACTCAGCCATGGAACTGAGGACGATGCCCACTCCAGCTTGACCAGTCTGCCGCATCAGCGTCTTCGGAAGTGTGCAACCGATAACGAGAGGACAAACCGAGCGCAGTCAATTCAACAACCCCACGACGGTCCTTGATCCTTGTTTCGGACACACAACACACGTCAATACCCAGTGGGTCCAAAGTGCGTGCGAGTGCAGCCGGTTGGCCTATGTCTTAGAGTGTGGTAGTGAACGCCACTAGGGAAACGGGACAGCATGGCTTTATAAAGAGCTGTTGGCGATTGGTGTCCAGTGGGTGTTGCGGAAATGATAGCAGCGGATGGCATGACTATAGTGAAATGGAGGTTGCCATCAATTAAACTGGGAAGTATAGAAGGAAAGTTAGAAATGGGGTTCGGGAGGGGTGAAACAGGTGGAAAATAAAGAAAGAAGGCACCAGCAGTAGCATGATTTCGCTTATCTGACCTGCTGTAGGTAGCAGATAGGACAACCCTTGATAAGCTGCGTGACGGCGGATGCAAGATGTGGTTGAATTTTGAAGAAACAACCATAGTGGTACGTGGTCTGAGGTACTGCTAGGGCGCCCAGACCTAGACAGGAGGACTGTTAGAGTCCACAACCAAAACGTTTGGCTCAAAAGCCCGTCCTCGAAGCAGCGGGGAGGTGGCAATGATTAAGTTTTACAGAAATAGGCGCCACCCCATTTCAAACCCCCAACATGGTGGAGCAGGAGACTGAGTTTGACCTCTAACCATTGATCAGCCTGGTGGGGGTAACTCTGAAGGGGCCCGGGGGTACCACCCAGTATAGTTCAATGGATCCAAGAGGTGCGCAAACATTCGCACCATGCTAAGTTCCAGTCTGGTTCATCGAAAGGCTGGACGATAATTTTCAGGGATCACAGCACGAACTCTCTCGGCATGGTGCTCGTCTGTTGATGTGAAAGGTCGTTCAAGCTTGAGACCCTCACCGATCGATATTCTTCCAGGTTCAAAAAGTTTAAACCACTTATAGCACTGGGTGCGACACACAGTCCTTTCTGTATGCTTGGTTGGGTAGCTGAAATGTCTGCGTAAAAGTTTTTCCTAGTTCGTAGTAAAATGTCACACACACGTTGTTCTTCAAACTCTCTCATTGCCACTCTGACACTAATCCGACGAGCAACTTGTGCAATTGCTTACTTCAATGGCCGTAGCTTGCCCACTAACGGTCAGAGTGAAACGTGGCAAATAGCAATTTGTTAGCTAAGCATGCCTCCAAGTGCGCTCGGTAGCTGTAGCGCACCATCTCTGGCGGCTGACTCGCTATTTTAAAAGTTCGCTTTTTCTTTGAACATGGTAGTATGTTGCATTGATGTCCAATTTCGGTTATGATAATGAGCCTTGCTTTTTATCATTATAACGAAAGTGCCACCCGGTGTGACGGAACGTAGCATAGAAATAAACAGATCAGCGTCTTATTAAGTTCTAGTCTCGTCGTGTTGACACAGTTTTAACGAGAGTGGCGGCGCTTTAGTTTGGTTATAATGCATATCATGCTAAGGGAAATCGCCATGTTGAGATGTAGCTAGTATTGTCCGCACGATTACAAATATGGATAACATCGTTAATCCATATGCTCAACCAAGCGTGGCTGCTGGACCATGTGTATGTGTGTGTGCCAGGATAAAAGTAGAGTCAAAAGTCAAATCCAAAGCGCGTCATCAACAATAAGTAGAATAGAAACCGCTGTATAAGAGGGAAGGAATAGATTTCGCCACTCACAGATGCGTGTGAGCATGAAATAAGGAGCTTAGGTGAGAGCGAAAGTAAACTTATTGGAACAATAATGCAACGGACCAACTGGAAAGAAGTGGAAAAATCGGTCACATATTAAAAAAATAATTGCAGGTGTCAATATGGTTAGAAATGATGAAGTCAAATAGTTGATCTCTGAATAAACTGTTGCAGCTAGAAATGTGCTTTATCGACGAATGGTGGTTCCAATAAAAACAGCGTCCGTCCCATCGCCATGCATTAGTAGAATCCAATGGATGTTTAGGACGATGTAATTGTTAGTACCAGTCCGATCGGTTGACAGTATCTAATGGCGAGGAACCACGAAGTCTTATTCAGAAATAATGAGTGATAATACTGAGGGGAAATTGTCATATGTGCGAAAACCCGAAAAGGAAGGAAGAAGATACGGGCAACATATGGATACCTTCAGTTGTTGTCGCAATTGCTTCTCCCTGGAACTTGCCGCAGATCTCACATCAGCCAGTTGACACTCGAATTGCCGTTCCATTGTCACTCTGCCGCTTTGTGACTCTAATAGTCGACTTTGTAGATCTGCATGTTCCTGCTGCATTGCGCTCAAACGCTGTTGCGCATCAGCATACAGCTTGTTGAGATTGGATGATTCTGCTTTAATCCGTTTTATCTAAACGGAGAGGAAGTCAATCCTTGTGAGATGGAACACAGTAGAAGCAGAGAAAAGGCTGTGTGTGTAACTATAAAACAGGAAATGCGCAAACAAGCTGCTGCCATTCACAAATCAAGGACGCTATGTCGATATTCAATATTGATTAAGTAAATGTAATGGAAGGGGAATCGATGCTCTATACGAAGTGCACATGCTTTGAAATTAGTGTTCAGCTTTAGACAGCAGGTGTTTGCGTAAAAACAAGGAGCCGGTGGCGAAATGGCCCCAAACCAACCCCCCAATGCTATGACTTGCAAACAGGCTTACATCCATGTAACTCAACAGGGATGTGTATGAACTGGATGTGAAAGGATACTAGGAAGGGACAAAAGCGTTATAAGTGATTATTGGAGCAATGACTCTTGGAGTGATTGGTCGCGCATCGTATGGATCGACTGGAGCATACTGCAGAATGCGAGATGAGCAAAGAGTACGTTAGCCAAGGATGAGAACTTTCACGCCACGATGTCACTTATAGCTATGAACATTTCGAAAAGCATGAGTATGGAGTCAATATACATAAAGCCATGGTCGGTAACGCGGTGTGAAAAAGCGGAGTAAGGTGCGTCCCACATATATGTGAAACAAAACGATTTATCGCTGGCGACGTTTGGGTTGCAAAGACTGTTAGCTCAAAAATCCGCTTATGCATATCACCTTACTAGTTCGACAAACATCTGGGTAGAGAAATGTTGACTTGGGCAGTGGATTGAGAATGTCTGAATTGACCAGTTTGCAAAAGACCTAAATTCCGTGGAAAATAGGTCTTACCACCACGGAGTTCGTATGCTTTGGGCGCTCAAAGGCAGCTTCTGCACTTGGTCCAGAGAGATGGGCACTTGCCTCTACGTTGCAATCATACAACCAATGCGAGGTGTGCCCTACGAAGATCGGTGCAAGAGGCTAGGACTCCACACCCTGTCTTATCGTCGAGTGCGGATTGACCTCATTACGACGCACCGGATCTCACATCTTAGTGGCTACGTCATGTTGAGATCGCTGCGCCAGATGCACACATTGAGCAGCACATGAGGATACCGGCACAAGTTTGTCGTACCGGATTTGAAACGGATCGAGCAGCAACCCGGCTTCGAACGAAGAGCAGTGAATACATGGAACATCATGCCGCCGCATGTAGTCGAGGTAAAGTCAGTGTTGGAATCCAAGAAATTTCTTGCCGACATGAAATATAGGAAATGTGCGCTATAATACATCATTGTACCTGAGGGATTTTAGATGCAGCAGTTCCCCTACAGTATTTAGTATCCAGAAGATTTTGCACAACAGTCCAAGCAGTTCAGATGGTACCAGCTTAGACACCCGTCTCATCAGAGAAAAGGTACAATGGTCTCTTCGGTACGAGATAGTGGGTTATTTCGAAAGTCTCGAAAGTGATGTACCTCTGTCACACAAGTTAATGCACACAACGAAAGCTGAGGAACAGAGAAACTGCGAAAGGCTTGATCAGTTGTATTGAACCAAGTTCACAGGCAAGAGGATGAGATAGTGCAATCCACCTAACTCAGGACGAATGACAAGTCAAGAATACAAAAGCAGATATGGAGTACGGGTGGAGAGAAAGAAAGCTCCAGGAAATAGATAACAAAAGCGAATGAATCAATCACTAGGGAACTGCTCTCACTGCGCATCTACAGTACTCCTGGAGTCAATGACATTCATCCAAGGGCGCTGAAGGTAGCAATAACAGGGCTAGTCGAGCTAGTATCGAGTTTTTTTCCAAAGGTGTTTGAATAAACGAATGGTGCCTACCATGTGGAAGCATGGAGTGATCATGCAATTTTCAAAAATGGCAGTAGTTCGGAGCCGGCTAACTATCGTCGTGGTCTTACTCTCTATATTCGCAATGGTGATGTAAGAAATTTTCGGTGAAACATTAGTAGATCATCTAGTAGGCTTCAACATAGCACCGGAGCAGCACGGTTTCGGTCAGAATCGATCATGCACCACTAACCTACTGATTGCACGCCGTAGTCGGGCGGAAGCGGTTGACAAAGGGACAGAAACGGAGGTCATTTGTCTGGACCTCTTCAAAGCCTAGGACCTTCTAGACCTCCGCATATTGCTTCACAGACTAGAACACTACGGAATTAGGGACCCTGTCTGTGGGTGGATCAAAAAAATTTCCTGCAGCATCAGCAAGTGCAGGTTGGAGTTCGAAGTGTGCTGTCTGACCTGAGTACTATCAATGGGGAGTTCCACAAGGAAGAGGGCTGGGGTCGCGTTCGTTTCTCTTATTCGTCAATGAGTTTAAGCGTCTGAGTAACTCGGATTTCTTGCTTCTCGTTGATGGTGTTACGATGTGGCGGGCCAGCGCCGACCAAGTAGATCAAGATGCACTACAACAAGACTTGGAAGGGTCATTTCATAACCTGCTCCAGTTTAATTTGTCCAAAGGTAAAGTGGTCCACATTCGTCAGCAAGCTTGAAGATCACGTCTAGCAATCAGTCAGACAGGAGCGCGACCTCGGAGCACTAATTTGGACTGCTTGGGTTGCTCATCACAATCTGAGAAAGCGTCAAACACCGATTAACACATAGGTATGTCCTCATGTGGAGTACGCAATCTAGGACTGGAAGCCCTAACACAAGAAAATCTCGCAGTGCTCGAGCGAAGAGCTATCAAACACGTCAAACTATTGTTTCACCTTCCATATGAAATTAGGCTGAGAACTTTAAGATAATATAGCAAGCAGTATCAGTGCCCACGTGGCGACCAAATAATGGTCTGCCATATTTCGAGGAACCCCAACCGCGTCTGCCGCCACCTGTTGCAACTTAGCAACAACACGAACTTGAGGGGCCACTAGTTTAAGTTGGCCAAGTAATCAGCCCATTAAAATATCGCCAAAACTTTTACTTCCTTCGTGTCGGGCAGTCATAGAACGCAGGCTACAATAACGTTGTTTCTGCTTCCACCAAATTGCGTTTAAAAAAGGTCTTGAAGAAATACAGCCTGCGTACATAGACACACGACAAAAGGTGACAATGTTGCACAAGCAGCATTGCCCTAAATAATCGAAAGAACTCTTTTATGTAGTCCTCACCGTAGGCACTGGTGAGTCCACCAAAACGCTTATCAGTTTAGCCATTTTCTTCACTCCATTTTTGTGGTTTTCGTTCTGGTCATCCCACGGAACTTGATAAGCATTTGCTCTGTTTATTCGTGATACATCATTGAGAGGTAAATACCGAGAAAAGGATATTTTTTGTTAACACTCTCATCAGACTTTTACATAGTAGGGAGTACTTGGTAGATGTACCGAACTGGGCTGAATATTGATTAGGTTAATAAATTCAATGGCAAAAGGGACAAATCACGCTGTAGTAGATAATGTACAAGTGAAGGATAACTAATTTCATCATTTTCACAACCAAACAAAGATTAAACAGGGTATCAATCAAATGGTTACATTACCAGAACCCGTGGCAACCGAAGAATTAGGGGGAGCATAAATTGCTTTTGTACGCACAATTACGGCATAATGCGGCGGGGGTAGATAGCTTCAGTAGTAGAGAAGAGAGGTTTTGGGGATTCTCGAGAGAAACACTCAGGAATGAAGTGGATGACTCAATCATTTTCCGAGCCAGCGTCACGGCACTCGAAGAGGTGTGACAAGACGGAGCTATCGGAAGACCTCACTTAGCCCCTGCAAAACCAGCTCGGGATGTGCTTGCAAATCTTAGTGGATAGGCGCCTGTTAGTACGATCCATCTATAGTGCACTACGGAAACATGAGTAGTGATAAGCAAGCATCGATCCAGTCAACAGAAGCAGTGCGAGTAAAGGTTTGTTGTAGTAGATTAACCAGAGAAGCAAAGTATGTCCTGCCCGGGGCCGCCGTCGATTCAAACAGTTCAGCCCACACTTTAGTCTGCTCATTTGAATGTTCAGTCACCAGAATAGATCACTAATGAGCGAGTGAGAATACGCGACTTCATTAGACATGTACGGGAATGGCCATGGGGGCGAATAAAGGGGAGGAGCATTAGCTTACCTCATCTTCGTTGACCTCAATCATAGAGTTCTTAGCCTCGCACAACTCCTTGAATTCTTGCAACTGCAGTTCTAACGACATCACTCGGTCAGCATACTCTTGCTCAACTTTCGAAAGCGAACAAAGCCCAAGTTGGTTCGGTGTCGGACTTTCTGTCGAATTTTGTTGTTGTTCCCGGGTCGCAACCACGGAAGGCTCTTCGATTTGTAGTGGAGCATTATCATTGTCCAACCCAGACCTAGCTCTCAGTAGCTCGGTTTCTAAATCTTCGTTTTCCTGTTGAAGGGAAGTAACTTGTTTCTTCGATTCCAAAAGAGCAGACGAAGTCTTCACCACTTCAGCTGAGAAGTCGACATGGCTCTGCGCCATGGCGTCACATACCCTGGTGAGGAAATCCACAAGCGTTTGTTGCAAACGCTCAAAGTCGTCCAAGAAACTCATGGAACCAGGTGGATCAGAAGAGACCACAGATGAAAAGCTGGAAATCCCTTCTTTCACCAGTGTTAGCTCGTCGATAAGCGGACCCTTGTGATGCGGAGGCATGCACGTCATCAAGCCGCTGGCACATTCGACCATGGATTGTAGGCTGAGGAGCAGGGACTTATACCAACGTTGGGATAACATTGACATATCATGCTGTGAGCGGATGCGTACGTCAGTTAGCTCCGAGACCTGAAAAGTTGAAGCAAATATGACGCCAAGTCTTTAGTGCTACCACAGAAGTCGAGCTACCAGACGGTTCGGTCCGAAATCAACATACAGGTATCACGGATTAAAACAACGAGTATGGAGATGGAGTAAATAAAAAGGACGTACGTACTGAAGTGTGACTCGCGACTAAGTTGATGAAAGACCAGACCGTGTAGGGCAGTAAGAAAGACAGTGAGGCGTAAAAGCAGCTTTCCAATAAACCGCAAATTTTTCCTACATATAACAGGATATTATTATTAGTAATATTATTGTTAGTTTACGAGCACCTACCTAAAGAATCGTTTGACAGAAGTGCGAGAATACCATACAGGGTTCGTGCCGTAAACGAAGTCGTTGATCTCTATTCCTGTTGTCCATCATACCTCAGAATCACAGTCCCGGATAGGAACAGAGAAGGCAGTTGCTGACCGGGACCAGGCAGCACAGACCACGCTCACCACAATACGTGTTAGAAACAGCGTCGCGCGTACAGTTGGTCAACTATATCCGCGTACCGCGAATTGTGCAGCACATTCGCCTCGGTCGACGGCTCCGGTACACACGAGATACTTGCCTGGGAAGCTGATTTTATGACGTGCATAAAAATTTCACGTGCCGTTCACTCGAACCTTTCAGGTCGCGTCAGGGCTGACGGCGAATCGTCAGACATCATTCCGATGACGAGAAGGTTTAATAGAAATCGCAGTATTTTTTAGAACTCGCGGTAGCCCACCACGCAATTTCTCCCTGCTGGACCTTACGATGTAGCCTACTGCGGTCGCGATCGTAGAGAAATTGGTCAATCTAGATTACGCGAGTGATTTGATTTCGCTATTTGACAAACGCGAAGTAGCTTGCTCCAGAGCTGATGCACCCTTTGACATATGTTTTGCATAGTCGAAATGCACAGCGATGTTGTGAGGTCATCAATGAATTGCCGGTCCAGCAAATTTTAACCATGAAGAATTGTAAATAGGCGAGCAACTCATTCATCCTGGAGCTACATGGGCTGTGGGGTGCCAAAACAAGTTTTGTTCCCAGGAATCTGTGATAAATTAGGTGTGAGAAAAAGGCATCCCATTAAGGTATACAGGACCACAATGGGGAGCACCTCTCTCAGCGGTAGTGAAACAGACTCCTCAGTCTGTGAAATGTGTACGCAGATGCTTGATTATCTTTATCTATGAATCATAGTTCGAGTCATGCGAGGGACACATAGTGTTGGATAACACGTGTCGGTACAAACCGTAGTTTCGTGTGAAATTCGCTCTATTCCGATGCGAGCTGCAAGTACTGTACTAATGACACTGCGGCGCTTGGGTCCGTATTGGAATACTGAACCAAATTGCAATGTTAAGATTTTTCCACACCGTCAACGAGCAGTGAATTGAGTGACAGGGATGCATCTACCTGTTTACACACCGTGCCATCAAGATGTAGGATGCTAACTCAGGATACACTGTCTCATTTCTCCTCTCTGGAGGCGACACCCGATTTAATCCATCAACCTTTCTAATCTGCAATCAACAGTGCATGCGCGAAGATACCGTGCCATTTGATATCCCCGAATCAGCGATGAGATGAGCACAATCAATACTAATGAAGTGCATAGTTATTGCGCTCTCTGGGATTTTTGACAGTGGTAGTCAAAGCATATAGTGTGTTCCCATGATCCATGTTGCTGAGGCAAGGTGCGTGGATGATAATGAACGATTATGTGACAGCGAGTGAGTGGTCATTTTGTGGAGTCTGCTGGCAGCACACATCACGCGTTACGCTTACAAACAATCAGAGCAGCACATCTTTCTAGTGGTACATTGCTAGTGTCCTCCTAGTATAGAACTCAAGAATTATCACCACTGGAGTGAGTTCAAGTGTGATTAATGAAGTATCAGTGCGGTGACACTTGTGGGAGTCAACTAGTGGCGCTGCATCCCAACGAAGCAATTCTCGCTCCGCTTCGTCCTCATTAGTGAAGATAACCAGGTGGCGTTTTGGAAATGTAACCTCATTGATGAACCACTCGCTACAAGTGCATGGTCGTGGTAGTTGGGGTTGACCGGACTCTGCGCCAATTCCGAAGAAAGTACCCCCCCCCCCCAGAGGAAACATTGAGCCAAGCCAACCTCTCAGTCGATTATTTTGAGCATGGCGTCAGTGTACTGAAATCTGTTGCTTAAATGTTAACGTTCTGTCGCTATCTCTTTCGCAACCAGTGAAGTTGTGTTGCTGTGCGTGAGAATGGTGGGTGGATATTCGGAACAAAACAAATGAAAACTAGTAACAAGCATTAACCAGATCATCCCGATGTTCCAAAACCTTTTAAAGGAGACAACTTCCCGATCGGTTCCTAGCAGATTCCAGGCAATCGAAATGCGAACAAAAAATTAAGAAGTCGGGCAAGTTGTTGCTCATCCAGTGCAGGTTAACCGGCTGTGTCCAGTAAGCACTAGTACGGTAGATCTCATGTGCGAGGTTGTTCTTTTCTGAATGGAACAGGACAGCATACATCCTTCGGAAGCTAATCGCTAGTCAAATCGAATCCAGGAAAAACAATTGCTCACATTGCGGTGTCAGATGCAAAACAATACAGGCGTTGTACATGAAGATAATCTCTACCAGTCCTTATTTTCCGAATGAAAATAATATTATGGAAGCAGAAGGCATACCACTTCTCAAACCATTAGGTAGATTACGCAACGTTTCTCAAACAGCCGTGGTGTGCATTCACTTACCAGCATGGCTGTTGCGAACCGATTCCGTGTTGGAATCGACGCTGTGGCCTCCTATGCATATTCGTTCGGTGAGGTCGGTGATGGGTGACAGTACTCAACGGTATCAGAACACTACTGCTTAGTGGCCTCTTTGTCTAGCTGCAGCCCGACCGGGAACAACAATGAACACTGTATTAGTTCCATGGATCCACCTGTGCCGCAATGTTCCAAGTTCCGTAGGTGGTCAATTCAGAAGTGACCAGCCAGTTTCTGTCGAATGTTTTACCGTATCTGTCTACGCAATGGTTGAGGTGTTTCCCACCTCTAGTTAACGTGTTAAAAGATAATGACTACGAAGTCGCAGATGTTAAGGGTTGGAGATTTGTTATCTTTAGGAAAGATACTGCGGCATGATTAGTGTTGGCCATATTTCTACGATGCCTGTAGCCAAAAGCAGATCAACTAGGGAAATATCAGCGACTACCAACGCCATCCGTTGATATGTTGCTTCTGCATCTGGGGCGAAGGAATGTGAAGTGATGTTTCCAGCCACTGTGCGTGCAACCCATAGATGGGCTGTATGGTCGAAATAGCTATTCAAAGAAAAAAAACATTTCCTCTGCCAAACGGAGGAAACTTTGTGAAGAAACAATAATGTCTAGAGATGAAGAGACGCGACAAACTGAACTAACTTCAGCAGACTCATCCGATCGCACGGTCGTATTAGGTAAACGATCAGTTGCTGAATGCTATGGTCAGGAATGCGAAGTGAATGCCAGTACGGAGGACGCAACCATATAAAACCTGTCAGTTTTGGCTAGGATTACAGAAATGACTTCACTATGTCACCATACAGAGTGGAGCGTAGAATCTAACAGATAAAATAGCCACGACAGCCCAATGACAAATGATCTCATGACAATAAGATGACCAGCATTATCACAACCAGTCAATTGAGTTCTGACTTTTGCTTTTTCCACAGTGAATAGGGGCGCTAGGCAGAAGACAGGCGCAGCAGCGTTACATGTGCACCGGAGTAGCTCACAACACATGGATCTTGACGAATCCTGCAGGTGTTGGCACAACAAAATAATGTGACCAATTAACCAGATCGACCAATCTTCAACAAGAAACACTTTCCAGAGGTTCTCCTTAGAATGGTCGTGAATTAGGAACGTTATAACCGCTACCGCGCGGTAGCACTATTCTAAGGTTTCCGTAGTTTATGGAACTTCGCCTCCGATTTTTAATCGCACACTCATCTGCATGCATTCATTCGGTCAGGCTTAACGCACTTATTCCAACGTTTTAAATATTGCGAGTCCACACATTGTGGATTACTATCGCGCTTATCTACAAGTTTTGCGTTTTCACAACTGAAGTGCACGCCCACAGCCTGGTAGGCTTTGCATTTTCATCACGGAGTGTGACTTTATATGAAAGTCTATTTCAAGGGCTCTTACAGATTCGAAACCAGTCCTACCGGTGGCTGTATAAAGCAGCTACAGGTAAAGTTACTTTTTTTCCACTGCTGTTGTGACTGGCCAAAAACAATTTCAATCCATAACGGTCTCCCCGTGCCCTACCTACACCTGGATGCGGACGATACCTCGCGTGGCTTTGTCTAGCCGGCATCGCGGATCTGCGGCTTTGACGTGCGCGGTAGCGAAAGGCGAAACCCGCGGATCAGACCTAGGCGCGGAAATAATGCGTACCTTCAACCGGTTGGTTTGGTCGGCAGAATCCATAAATTTTAACCACTTGGCAAGGGCGCGCTTTTCGCGTTTTACTATTCTATATCAAAGCACCACACAGTGGCACTTTACGTAAAATAGTTATCGCTACATTATACCAATTACCTTCCGAGTATTAAACTGGCGTTTCCCAAGTCTTACTTCACGGCTTTCTGGTTTGTGGTCAAGCGTCAAATTCCACTTATAAAAGAAAGTTTTAAATAACTATCGAACATAATCTTAGATAATATGAACGTGCAAGCGCCAAAACGCGGAATCACATCGATATATAGGTCACAAAACAGCTGAGTCGTAGAACTGCGCAACTGTTCATAATGCTCCTCTCCCTGATATATTAGCTGTAGCTGAGACCGGATTGGCTCAACTTACTTTGGAAGTATAGAGGTTAGAGGAGCTCCATCTCCGAATACGGAGGCTCACGTTCGAATTGAAGAAATCACAAGAGGGATCAGTCTAATCTCAATCGCTACTAAGTTGGTCGCGTCTGTCGTTCTCCAAATGATGACTGCACTAGTGGAAGCCAGATTCGCGAGCAGCAAGTCGGGTTACGTCGAAATCAAGGAAGCACTGACCGCATCCTCACTTTAGGTCAGTTGTTGGAGCATCGCCATATTAATTGGCAAGCCACCGTAATCGTGTTCTTCGACATCAGGGGTGCATTTGATGCTGTGGATTGTTACATCTTTTGGAACTGTCTACTCGGGAAAGGTATGCCTGATAAATATGCAAACATTACCAGAGCGCTATAGGCGCATAGTTCGGGCAAAGTGACAGTTTATGGCAAGCTGTACCATCATTCAATATCGCCGACCGCGTAAGACAAGATTGCCAGCTGTCACCATTCCACCTTAATTTCGTCATCGACGAAGTTATGGAACCACTCCCTGGTTGGCGACTTATTGATTTGAACGCAGACGACAATACCCTAATCTGTGACAACTCACAAACTTGCCAAGCAGCATAAGAGAAATTTCCACTGGCTGTCAGTCGTTTCGGGCCATGCATTGTACCCACAAAGATAAAGCCATTCTCCAAGATTGGCAGGGATGTCTCTCTGCGCCGACCCATGAGGGAAATCAGCTAGAAGTCGTTCAGAAATTCAAGCATCTGGGCTGCTATACTAGAACTTGTGGAATGGAAGATGAGACCACGAACCGTATAGCAGAAGGTCAAGGCACTTTGGCTAACCTTCGCCACCTGTGGAGGGGAGGCAAAGCAATGAATGGTCAAAAGGAATGAAAACGCTTACTTGAGGTTAGCATCGGTTTTAATGTCGCCAGACTGCCGGGCTGGGGTCCCAAGGACGATAAACAGATTTGGTTGAATACACTAATTGACGTAGCGAAGAGGCGACTCCAGTGGCGTTTGTGCTGTTAATTTCTCTTTCCCCCTACCTCCCGCTTCGTTACCAACCCAATGCATGGTATGATACTTAGCAGTAAATTACTTGCTTCTCTATTTGTTGTATTCTGTAACGTTTAGTATCTTGTCTCTTTCTATTGCGACGCAATAGTTGAGGTGTTTCTCATCCTCAGGTAACCTGTATTGACGATGACGATGATAAAAGCTACAGTTATAGGCTGTAGTCTTATTCTAGTTGCAACGAGTTTTAAACGTCTGAACACTGCGGAAAATAAAACACGTGAAGCGGGAAATTGGAGGACGTAAGCCACAGCCAACCAACGAAGTAATTAGATGTCTGAGGTCTTTGTTAGGTAATAGAGTTCCAGTAGACAAAGGTGGCAATTTGGAAGTGGATAATATGTGGGGTGCTCCACATGATGACTCAGAGATTATGAAAGCCTAGAGTAAGGTAATTTCGTGCACAGACCATCACCTCCAAAAGAAAACCTAGAACTAGTAGTTCGAAGCTTAATGGCTCAACTGGCACAAGGGTGGCCTCTGGGAATTTGTAGATCGCTAACTTCGCAGTCATGCTTCCCAAATACTTGCGTGAAGACCGCAACCCAAGGAGCAGCTATGAATTACGGGGCCATCTATTAAATAACAAGGAATAACAATGGCACGACTGTTTATAATATTGATAACCATAGTGGCATAAGTAGTGCTATATCATATGAAAAAGGGGATTTTACCAAGCAGCCCCAAATCACAGACACTATTCCACAGATAACCCAGAAATGAGCAATCATTAAATAAGTAGTTGGGTCAACAGAAATATAGTGGGCGCGAAACTAATGCCAGTGACGTGCTATGACCCACGTACCTTGAGCAAACCACAGTGAGGAACGCTCGGACCCTAAGGACAAAGATAAGGTGTTCCGCCAGTACACAGTCTGGCGAGTAATGACTTCATTCACCGTTGCAGGTTTAATGATGCTCCCGTCCGAAAGTGCTATGCAAAAATCGGGCACGAACATATGCAACACTAGTCCGAATCGACATAGTTTACTCACCAAGTTATCATCTTCAGTGTATGAGAATCGCACTCATGACGCAGCAAACGGAAATCGCTCAAGTGCCAGTGTGTAATGAAAAGCGAACAGGAATGAAGCAAAGCAGTCAACGGTGGAGGACCGGAGTACTAGCTGACATCACCCGAGCCAACACACCGCCAGTTGTCATCGTCACTGAGCAACTGCTGGAAGCGGCCCATCAAGTTACATATCTAGGTAGCGTACCATCCGTGGTGGTCGCAGCATCGGGCCAGTAACTGCTCGTGTGATTCTTCAAAGCTTCGGTCACTTATGGGGGGCGGTGGGTATAAAACTATTGCCTAAGGCAAGAGCCTGTAACGCTGCAGTGTGACACGGGTTGTTGTATGAATAGGAGACATGGTCCTGTGGGTTGACGGTACGAGATTTTCATGCAGCCATTTCCCTTCAGAAATCTTAAGAGAGCAAGAACGAACAGCATCTTTACGGGATAACCTGAATTCAGATTATTTCGTGTCTGCTCATTCAGCCGCTTAGACAATTCGTGGAAAGAGTAAAGGAATGCAATTGAAAAAGGGTCAATAAGAAAATCAATAAAACACTGAGAAAATCAAGGTCATCGCCTGTGACTGTATTACTAACGACGCCGGCGCAGGGCTGCTCGCGTCTAGTTGGAGGGTCGGACAAGCGATACAAAAGTTCGTCGGCTGGAGTTTGGCTATGGATACTCTAATGATGCAATGAAATACTTCCTGAATTTGAGAAACCTGTGGTGGGTAGCCTATGTGCGATCCGGTTGGGTTTAGATGTGATGAACCTCAACGCAAACCACCGGTAGATGAGTGTAGACCCAAGAACAACACTTGTGAAGAGTAATGAGAAATGCGTACAGCGGCGCACGATTCCGATGTAATTGGCGCACAGCTTGCTGGAAAAGGTCAATAATTATGCAGACTAATTGGCGCGCACTTAGTTCTTCTTAATGTTGACCCTGACGGGCGTGATGATGCACACATTTATGGTTTCCAGCGCCGTGTCGGCAGTACTGTGTTGTACGTGAACGCGGTAGATAAAAGGAAACATGCAAACCGTCTGCTTATTTGCACATGTACACATTCGCAAGCAATACGGAGGGTGCCTGTGGACGCAACAGCAACAAACCGGGTCTCGTCGGCTCGCTTTGGTCTGATTGGTATTTGTGAACCGTGATTTTATAGTAGAAAGTCGCCGTTTCGTCACTACACAGTCTGCCTTGTAGGCCCACCGCGTTTATAGGTTCAGGTAGACAAACTCAGTCTCACACTGTTCGGGGACCAAAAGCACTTGCGGCGCTTGGACCGCTAACGTGTGCAGTGCGTGTCAGCTGATTCAGCGGTGCCTGCTGAGTGGCGGAATCTCACGCCTGCACTCCCGGAGATACATGCTACAAGGAAATTCACCCCGCTAAATCCCCATCCAGTGAGCGTATGAATATGGTCTAGAAGTGCAATCAAAGTATCCGAAATACTCAGGGAATCGGTGGTGAACGTAAAGTGATACATTTAGATCCTGGGTGCACATGCAGCGTCAAAAAGCCATTGAACATTCGTATAAAACTGCCTCCAGACAAAGAAAATCATGCAAAAGTTACGATGAGTCCAACTGAGGATATAGGGTCCCAGAAACTACCGATAAGTCCAGGTGTAAGCAAGAAAAAAATAGACATCGAAAACAACACAAGACAGAGGATTGGGAATCGATATACCACCAAGTATCTGGGGACATTGGCAAAATACTGGGGCACCATACACATGTTAGGGTGCCGGTCAGTTGCTGTGTGGATTACACGACTGGCTTGGAATCCACGGCTCAAGCCCATGTAGATGCGAGTCACATTGTGATAACCACTCTCACACACACACACGACTGCTGGCGGTCGCGTGGTAAAACGGTAAAACGGACCGGCGTGTTGCTGATATCCCTTATGTATGCAAAATTTGGAAAGAAAATGTCCACCAGGCGCCATGAGTTAGTTTCGTTCAATTAATCGACTATGATCGAGATTCGATGAGTAGTGAAGAGTCACCAAATATGGTCAATAACCAAGATACTAAAAACCAACTACAGTGGAATAAAGAACAACAGAATAGAGTAAGAAAGAAAAACGAAGACGTCAAGGAATGGCAGTCAGAGACAAGAGCACACGCGAAACCCCAATGCACAACAACCGCACCATGGCAAATGGTGCGAGTAACAGCTGGGTCTGTGCGATCGTCGCCACTATCGATCCACCAAGACTCGTAGCGACACAAATGACCTCCATCAAGGCCTTAGTGTGACTTACATTTCGTAAAACAGTCACCGTAAACAAGCAAGATAAGCTGTTGGAAATAGGCAAAGTGCATATCGAAGACGCGACAGGACAATTGAAAGAAGTGCGCTACTAACTGAAGCTTCGAGGCGGTACTGAAGTAGGTCACCAAACGTTAGTTAGTGGACTGATTACCTGTCAGATACGACAGATTTTGTGGACACAGCCAGAAAAACATAGGATGTTGTATCCTAATGTGATGAGCTTCGGCGTCGTTCCAATCACCGACGATCCAAGCGATCGAAATGAATGAGATCTGCTTTAAAGTGAATTGCAGTCCGCATTGATAATGCAGGCCGTAATTTACACATATAGTGAATATTCCAAAACCCAAAAGATGAGTGCTCGCCTGGAATCCCAACGTGCGAGTCATTGTGGAATAAAATAGGAGGATGAAATAAAAACAACCCTCTTAACAGGAGTACCTGAGTGAGTAGATGGGATAGATCGCTATTCAACTGGTGATTACGGTGTTCCGAGGACGTTAATGAAGACTGAAGGTCGTTCACCTGAGTTTGCAGATCGCGGACGAATTCGGCGTTGAATTTCGCTGAGTTTAGCTGCTGCTCAGCAATACTTAGCCGTCCAGCGAAGGTCAGCAGCAAGGCCGAGAGGTTTGAGAAACGCGTCTCCTGTTCACTGCGTAGTTTTTTAATGAAACCCTGCGTTCGATCGTCCCAGCGTGAAACTTCGTCTTGCAGAGCAGCACAAAGTGACTCCTTATCCGTGGAAGAAGCAACGGTTTGGGACTCCATGTCCAAAACAACCACATGTCTGCCAGAAGGACTTATATCATCAGTGTGAAGTGGTTCAAATTCATGTTGTTCACCAAGTTTTTGACAACTGACAGAAGCAAGATGGTCCGAAAAGCAACCATGCTCAATTCGTTCAATCTCGGCGCACTTAGAGCACCGAAGGTTTGCACCGCCTTCATGAGGTTCAAAATGAGGCTGGAAAAACGAACGTGAAGAATTAGGTTGAACAGGCGTTTTGGTAAAAACAGACTGCAAAATGAAGGGGAGGCAGCACAAAAGCAAAACCCAGAAAAGGAATGGTTCTGCGATATGCTTCAAGCAGGTGCCGTTAGTATGATCTCAGAGAGCAGTAGCAGAACGGAAGGTGAATATTAAGATAGTCGGAGTGCTGAAGAAATCATCGCATTAATGAACTGGTGTATCGCCATGACTGCAATCAAAAAATGGGCGGAATGCAGCTGAAGCTAATTACCGCGTACAGCGGATTTGTCAGTAAGCTACTAGTAGAACACTTGCTGATTGAAATGATCACGAACAAGTAAGTGAGCAGAGCGCAAATATACCTTCAGATTAGGACGGAGACGTTCCCTGACTAAGGTAGCAGAACACTAAAAGCGATGCGGATTGACAACTTCCAACAATGACCAAGAGAAAGATCAACGTCAAGAGCAATTTATTCTGTCATTGGGATCCGTGCCACTGTAATAGTTACGGACTTAGATTGCACCGGGTACACTCAAGAAAGAAACGTAATCTGCTTCCAAAGTTTGTTTACGTGCACCTGCGTTCTGAAACGTCAGCCCCAAGGGACCAACAGAAGTTCAGACCTCTACTGCGGTTTCACAAATCTACTTAATAGTACGTAGCACAAAAACAGTGTATGGCGCAGCCGAAGGAAGTTGATCAATGCGGTGCTATTACTGAACAGCAACCGCAGTGTTTTAGCGAACCACCTTGGAACAGCAAGAGTAGTTGGCTGTACCCACGGACACCGCGGATTTTTGGAGCACCGTACGCTGGATTCTACTTTTGCTTCGGATTACTGTGTTATAAGTGTATTTTTCGTGTGAATTGTGCATCAATAATCTTCTTTTGGTGTATTGTTCAATCTGAAAAGCTAGTGGATATCTTCTGGCTAATCCCAGAGATCTCATTGATTGACCCAACTGCCGTCTGTGTCCGGCATCTTGGATTCGTTCTAACTTGTGATGCCGTCCCGAGCAATTTGTGGTTGGACATAAGGCTCATGCCCTTCGGCTGCAATGTTTTGTTTCATATTTCGTGCACTGGCTTATCCGTTGACGTCTTTCGAAAATCTATCGATATCTGACATCCTTTTTCCCAATTATATGTGATAAATATCATGGTTCAAGACATAAGAATACACAGCGATCGTCAATGACTACGGGAAAACCAAGCTTACAGGCGGAAAAAAATCGTTCACTACGTGGAGTCAAACGCTCTCATGAAAGTACCTCTGTCACCTTGCCTTCCGTTGCTACTCCGCGATCTGCACCACCAACAGCATCTTCGACCCCGGCCGAACCTCAGGTTCAATGTTCCCCACCGATTGAAGACTCAGACCCGGAACCTCCGAAATGCCGCTTCGCTGATCGGTCCGTGAATTTCTCAGAGCCTGTCTGTGCACCTCTGAACACTGAGAATCCATGGACCACTCAAAGGGGCAAGGGGCCAGGTAACCGAGTTCAAGCGTCCCCTGATGGTAAACAACAACCCAAACCGATAAACGCCTCTAGTCCTGCTCTCACAGGTTCATCATCGATTTCGCTGAGGAGTCATAATCTCATGGTCTTCCACACTCCCGAGTCAAAAGATGAAAACCCTCAGATACGCTACGATCATGATGTTGAGTTTATACAGGGGCTCATCGAGAAACTCTTGGATGTGGGTAAAGACAGTGACGAGTAAAGAAGTAGTCCGACTTGACCAGAAAACTAACCAGCCATATCGACCTATGAGAATCATCTTTGCAAATCACAATATGCCGCAGCTCATACTGTCTCGTCAGTCAAGGCTAAAAGGCATAAACGTTCACATCCGTCGACACTTGGAACTCGAAGACAGGGATCGTTTGAAGATTGCGGGAATTGAGCTCAAACACCGTAGAGAAATTGAGGCTGACTTACAAAGTGTAAATTTTCGGTGATCAAGAAGGGTGTACGAACCCGTATCAACCGGTTGCTCAACCTTCAGGCACGTACCGCAGTACGTCCCAGGACCTCCATGTGGCATTCGCCAACGTGTGCGGCCTAATGAACAAACATGACGAACTGTGCCGCTTCGCTGTCTCGAAGCGGTCGGACATTTTAGGACTTACAACGACGTGGTTGAACTCCGACGTCATACCACAAGAAGTCGCATTTTCAGGATACTTTGCTTCCGATGCGACCGAAAATCCAAGGCTCACGATGGTGTTCTGTTGTACATAAAATCGTCACTATCTGGTAAACTTATCAGAACGTATCGGAGCGAGGATAAGTTATGCGAGCAACTGTGGTGCTCAATCCGCCTCAGACGCGCAGAACTAATAGTGTGTTTTATCTACCGGAGCCCATTAAATCGTTATTGCGATTGCCTACCAGATATACAGAAACACATGAGCCGCCCTCAATTCTTACTGATGGGGGACTTAATTTATCTAAGATATTCTAGCCAGACGTTCGGCTTCTTTCCGGTCATGGCGACGTTGAGGCTCAATTCGCTGAAATGACTATTGGCATCGGGGCAACGCAAAATGGCGTCCAACCGACGTGCATACTTCCGCACTCGGTATCTTGCCTGGACCTAATGTTTATGAGCTACGAGGAGAATCTGAAATAGGTCAGTCCTCGAACCTCTAGCAAGTAGTGACCACTGCTCCATTGTGGCACGCGGTTCCAGTAGTACAATCAAGGAAAACTGACACCGAACTATTCGAAGACGGACTTCAACGGGCTCGTTCAAACAGCAAGTCAGACTGATTAGACAATATCACAGGATGCGTCGCCTAAGGCCTGTTGGTCATTAATGGAGGGGAAGCTTAACTCGCTGTGTACTCGGTTCGTACCCCAGAAGTAGTCGAAAATCGGACCTGTCAAACCGCATTGGTTCGATAAGGAACATAAACAGTTAGCGCGACGGCGTCGCAGACTTTGGGATAGATACCTCATCTCGGATTGTAATGAAGATTACATGGTGTACAAGAAACAGTGTAACTTACGAAACGCCGCAAAGATCAAAAAACGCCGGCAGTTCGAAGAGGAGCTAGCATCCTCGGCCACAACCGACCCCAAGAAAATATTTGTCTACTGGAAACGTCAACTGAAACCTGCGGGCAACCTACTGGTCTTAGAAAGCTTAGACGGAAAGATGCTCATTTCAAGCATGGAGCACGCGGATGCCTCGGCTAAGCACTTCCTCACCGTATTTTCCTGTAAACCAGCGGCTGTTCCAGTACCAGAACAGGTTGCGCCAGTCTTGCTCAATAGCCTACAATGTGATGCAGTCGAAGTGTATCAGCTACTGCGCTCAGGCGCAGCTTCAGCACTTGGTCCGAAGAGATTGTCACTCGCCTCTTCGTCTCGATAATACGACCAATGCTAGAGTACGGCTCTCCCGCATATTGTCCCATCACGCTAGGCGAGGTAGAAAAGCTTGAGCGGGTGCAGCATGTAGCCACTAGGCTGATTCCCAACTTACGAGGTATGCCATATGAAGACCGATGTAAGAAACTAGGGCTGTACACCCTAGCATATCGTCGGCTGAGGGTTGACCTAATCATGACGCACCGGATATTACATCTGAGTGATTACCCCATGTTGAGACAACTGCTTCATCTGCGCACACCAAGCAGCACGCGAGGACACCGGTACAAACTTATCGTACCGCAGTTGAAGCGGGTAGCTCACCAACTCTGTTTCGAACGTAGAGTGGTGCATACCTGGAACAAACTGCCGTAGCCGGTAATAAAGGCGAATTCAGTGGCCGAATTTAAGAGGCTTCTAGACAAACACTTCGCAGAGGCAAAATATAAAGAGCGAAACGATAATTAATACGTTAATGCCCAAGAGCGACAACTGATGCAGCTACACAGAGTATGCTCTACTCGCTGCTTCTAATCAGTATCAGTATCTCAGGTGCGCCAACACTGTCCTCTGCATGTTGAAAACGCGTATGACCGTAGAGGGGAAATGTACGCGCTATATCACAGTCAGCACTAATTTTAGTCAAGGCAGCTGCCGCTCGTCCTCCCTGGTCCACAGACGCGCATGCAGCGGATCGCGGGTTCTAGCCACGCAAGGGACAGATGGAATGTGCAATGCTAACGATCATCGGAAGGAAGGAACGACCGTACTGTACCTTTCTTGAGATACAGTGCTTAGTTGACAGTGCAGCTGACGAATTTTTATATAAAAAAGCAGCATAGCAAAATGGTCCTGGACTGACAGGAAACTCACGCATGTTTGTAACACCGTCCTTGTCGGAACAAAACCGTATCCTGTGGCTGGTAAGGTGGCAGTCAAATGAATGGTGAATTCTTGCAGGAGATCAGGGAGCCAAGCAGAAGTATTATCCAAAGCGGATTGAAAGTCAGACTTGAGTTGGGCTAAAGACAACCTGATTGATACGAGTTGCTGGCGCATATCAACAATTTGGTTGAATAGATTGTGATGTCGTTTAATTAGTGAGTTCGCCCTAGACAGGCGAGCGTTTGAATCGGAGAGATGCGCAGACAATACCGCAACTTCGGTATCCAATGTGGATTTTCGCTCGTCAATGGCTTGGGTAAGCTCAGAGACTTTGTTCCTTAGTTCGTTACATTCTGTTTCGATAGCAGCGGCAGAAGAGAGCCGAGTAAGCAGACTATTTTTCTCATCTTCCAGAAGTTTGCAAGCGGACTCTAGTTTGGCACACTTTTCAGTGAGTCGATCTCGATCTGCAGCATGATGAGAGAGCAAGTCTTGAGTGTCTTGGAGCATACGTTTTGCCTCGATGAGTTGCAATCGGACTTCCTCAGATTCTCTCTGAAAGTCTAAAACCTGCTTCGTTGATGCATCCAACTTTTGCACTAGCTCATTTCTAGAGTCGATTGCTGTTGCTAAGCTCGCTTGTAGATTGCATAACTGTGAGTCGTGATCGCAGATTAATGAATTCACGCGGTCCCTGCAATCTTGTTCCGCAGCTTCCAGAGCGTTTGTAAGGCGAAATACACTATCGTTCTTCTCTACTATTTGTTCGGCGGCGAAATTCAGAAATTTAACCAATTCTTCAAGCATTTTCCCATAGGACCAGTTGTTCATGTTTTCCAAATCGCTAATAAACACATTAGGACCTAACCGCTTAAAAATATTTGCAAAATCACGCATCATGGTTGAACGCAAAGTACGTTCCTTTTCAACTACATCGTTAATGCTTGTACAAAGACTTCTTTCCGTTCCGTCAAGTTGGGATACAAGAGCTTCAGGTTTATTGCATGCTTGAAAATAGGATGATTTGGATACCAATTCCACCGTACAAGCAGAAGCATTAGTTAATTGCGGTGCCAATTCGCTCTCTTGCGTACATACTGAGGCTTCTGTTGGATAGCTGATGAATCCCTCGGGTACGGTGATGGAACTTCTGGGACTTAAGGCCAGTTGTCGCTCTGCCTTCTCTGTAGTCATCTGCGCCACAGTAGATTGATCGACAAACGGAAGATTTTTGTAGTAATCCAACTCATTTTGTAATCGACAGCACTCCAGCTTACTAGTGCACAACTGCTTATGAATAGAAGCCAGCTCGGCTCGCAAAGATTCGGAAGACTCTCCGCAAATCCCACACGTGGTCACATCGCAGGACGGAGCGCTGCTAGCGCCCATATAGCGGCCCGACGTCAAGGTCGATAATTGCTCCTTCAGGTGAGCCACCTGCGTCTCCAGGGCGGACTGCATCAAGCGACTATCAGTGAACTCGTGTCGAGTATGCGTTAGCTCGTTCCCCAATTCGGCTACCTGTAAAAAAAATGCGAAAGTTGAGGGGTGAGAAAAAGCTTACTCCATAGAGAAGATGAAGTGATGTGGTATTGATGCACTACCATACAGCGCGGATGGCATCTATTAGCCATCATCGATTCGCACAATGACGCGATGATACATATACGTGTTAAATAAAAAATACAAGCAAAACAGATGAGTTAAGCTTTGAGGATTGTGTAGGTTGAACAATTTTTGTGATGATCTGCTGACCCAATTGATGAATGCTAAAGGAAAAGCCCCGGCATAATTGATGGAAACCCCCATAAAATCAAAGTTTCGACCGGACACGAGATATGGACGGATTTCATTCGGTGGTGCTGCACGCAGTGCAGGGAACCCTGAGCAGGAGGGTGGCAGACTTCGAGCCAAGTGGTGCCATCCAAATCGCACTGACAGTGGATGAGGAAAGTGAGATTGGATACTTGTTGTCTACCGGTTAATTCTATCCGAAAAGTGAAAACAAGCGAGCGCCAGTCGTGGAGTGGAATGTTGGGAGCAGATATTGTCCGACATTTAGCTGCCGTTAGACTCCTGGTCCCTCATCGTGATCCCGGATTCTATTAGCAGCCAGAGCCAGTTGGAAGTAAGACGTCAGAACAAAGATGAAAGAAACTGTCAGGTGCGGTGCAAGAAACCAGCGCCGATTAAAATGGCTCTTGTGAACAAACAGTGATGCACAGCCCGGTAGTCCGTTTGTTCACGCCTAGCAGCTATGCTCCAGCAGTGATTGGCTGCTACGCACCGAGTTCAAATCGCTCATAAAATGCAAACCAACTCTCAAGTGTACGCAGCTATGAAACAGTTAGTCGTGGTGAAGTGTGGGACAACCGGGATTTCTGGAGCTAATAAAGGCGAAATGCGGGCAAATTTACTACGCGCTGATGTCAGATTTTACCAACATCTCAAGACTTGTGTCGTTCGTCGTAGTGCCCGCCGAGTATGGATCAGAACAGGGCATATCCGCGTGGATCGACTATCTCATAGCACAACTTTAGTCATCCACAGTGGGTACATAGTATTTAAGGCTTCAGGCAAGGACTGAAGTCATTCTCTCGTTAGAACGTGGGGCACGAGCGCAGAATGGATCAAATATTCGGTACCATCGGATTTACAGCTGTTTTGTCGGACAATACACATCAATGGTATTCACCGGTGAAATTTGGGAAGTATAAGCTTATTAAGGCTAACAATCATTTATAAAAGAACGGATTTCGAACTAGCAAAGTTTCGTGTAGAAAAACACTATCAGTCCGACAAAGGCGGTCCATTTTAAGAATATTCTGAATCTTTGTCAGATACACATCGGCAGAAGACAATTTGGTCTCACAGTCTATGGTAGCCATGAAAATGGGTATTAACTATGCTTTCAGTCAAGAGGTAATGTAAACAAACAAACGCAGCAGCCATCGTTTGGAAAGAGCGATTGAGATCGTTTGCTTAAACAGTTTGTACGTTTCGGTTCACATAGAAATTTCTCAGCTCTTAAGACGAGCATTCAATTTGTGATCAATGCACTTGACAACCCGTGCATGAAATTGACCATGTCGACATATGTGATGCGTATGTATTGAAAATGTACCATAGTTATTAGTTATCTAGCAGTGCAAATAAATGGTGGCTGAGACATGAAGTGAAACAAAAGGGCGCTCATAGAAGGCAATTACTTTCGCTTTCAAGGTGTGATTTTCTAGTTCCAGTGAACGCTGTCGTTCGGCTTCTCGTTCAAGAGTAGACTTAATCTTTGACTCTGTTTCAGCAGGTGGGTCCTTTCCATCTCTCAAAAGCGACACCTAGGGAAACAAGCAAAAATGATAAATGTAGCCCGAGAAAACAAGCCGATGAACATCACTGAGCTTGACACAGCTGTAAGCCACACTCAGGCACATCAAACTATGGTAAGTCGGTCAAACCGGATGGTATGAAGAAGATGGGGCAGGAGGATACACATTAACGTGAGTAATATGAGCCAATATCGATGCACTAGAAGGGAGCTGCACTTACCAGAATGGAGCAATCAATGCACTCATCATATTCTTACATCACTGAAGCCCAACATATTGTGATGTGACGAAGATGGAAAAATAACATCATGTACAAATAGCCGGGGCAATGTTTAAAACATTAGTAATGGCATGGAGAATGACAGGGTCTGTCACGAAGCAAAAAGTTAATCCAGTACAATCGTTAGCGCGTAGAAAAACGATTCGCACTGGCTAAGAAAAGCCACTTTGTGAAATTACTTTGCCCTGCATGGGAAGTTGAGAAGCGTGAGGTGAAGAGAGTGGTATCCACCTTCGGAATTGAAAAGAACGTGGCTACCCTAACTCTTTCCTGTAAGATAAGGAGGTTGTGTGGTAACTAATGCCCGACATCACATAGCTTCCGCACTATAAACTGTCAGGTATCAGACAGAATGCACAACGAGAAAGATGTTTGAAGCAGGTGATTTAAAAATGAAAACGTGATGATAAAGCTGTTGGTGTACGGATACAATGCCGCAAAATGTGCTAAGATAGGCACCTACACGAATTATCCTAGAACTTCGAAGCGACTAGGCAAGATGTACCGTGTTCGTCCTTGTTTCAAACTGCTGATAGCAGCGTATACGAGAGTCGCACAAGACGTTTGCAGACTGGCTTCTAAAAGCAATTAGTAGATAAAGATCAATTCAATCACCGTTCAAGTTAAGTTTCCTTGAATTAAACACAATTTACCCATCGGTGTTCCAATGAGATTATATTCTTGCAGTAGAAGTTTGAATCTTGCTGCTGCACTTCTATAGTTGCAAGGAAATCAGAATCATAGGCCAATGTTCAATTACGAATGTAATTCATGAGATCAGAAAACAAACAAAAGCCACTGAGAGCAATATTCGGAAGAAGCTGTGGATGTTCAAGCAATCGGACTCTTGCTTCCTGGATCGCATTCATGGCAACCCCCGAAGCGCGACTGGGAGTGCTGCCTTGAAAAAGCAGAATGATTTTCTTAACTTAGCTCGCCTCTTAAGTTTATTAACCTCCCGAAGTTTTCAAATTAAGCCTGCGTAATACTGTCAAGTCATTGCAGTACATTCTCCTAGATAGTCAAATAAATTATTCATTCAGAATCAAAGAAAACAGAGGCTATGAACTTGCTAGCAGAGAGTGCAGAACAGAATTTCTTAGGTAATGGTGAATTGGTGTGCCTCACACCGTGCCTTGCGTTTTGGTCTCAGGAGCAAAGTGATGGACTCAAGTTTCATCAATAGTCCCTATAGGAGACCAGAAGTTTATCGGATCCCCTTGAAAGGGATCCTTATTGGACTGGTACATCTGAACACGATATGCCATCTACTGAGTTGCCAACATTTGTGGCACCTATCGCGCACTGATTACTCGCAAAATCAAATTATCTGCCAAAGTAGAATGCGCATTACAAGTTGGAATATCCACAGACCGTTACCGTTTTGTCTTCCTTCTATCTAGCTTGATGATGCTGCAAACCTTTTCAAGGTTTTTTTGGTCACCGAGGTTGATTGTCCCTCACAAGTCAGCAAGTTCACGTAACTCATAAACCCATTTAAATTCGTTATGCCACTTGGGAACTGTTGGATAAATAGGCAAACTGTCCTCTAGTGTCACTAAAAGATCCTGAGGAAACGCTCTCTTCAGCAACAAACACTTCACAACCGCGTCGTTCCCAAAGCTGTTGACTTCGAGTTTAACACAGGGAAGTCAAAACGGATTTGTTAAATACATGAAAAGGCTACGCGATGTGCTTAAGGTTATATGTGTTCTTTCGCAATGAGTCGAATCCATTATGCAAAAAAGGAGAACAGGGAACTTAGGCTGCGATCCGTTCGAACGTAGTATTACCGATGCAGTATACGCACAGGAGCGCATATATATATATATATATATATATATATATATATATATATATATATATATATATATATATATATTAGACCAGTGATATGATATATAGATGAAACAAAAGTAAAAAAATGCCGTACGACTATAATCGGAGAAGTTGGGACTAACAACATTTCCATGATTGAGTGCGACTTTCACCAAATTTAAGAGCATTCAGTAATTAAAAACAGCTTATAAAAATTTCCATTTTCTATGAATGCATCGAAAACAATTGTTTACCTTCGGTCCCTTGTTCTTTAAGAGCATTCCCAAAACAGAACTGTTTAGGAGTTAAAAGAGCGCATCCACGGCCATTGCAGAGGTGGGCGATATAAAGCGAGCCCACGTCAAGAGTTGAGCACTCCGCCTTCGTTTCCTTTCAGATTCAAGTTTGTGAAGAGGACACTGCAACGTGACCGCTAAGTAGATATACCAGACAATTGTCGGAGGCACCAAACACTGCGCAGCAAAATTACGCAGCTCAGCGATAGATAAAGTTATAAGATTTGTAAATCTATCGACGGGCCTCATCACTGACAGTGTAATACTGGCACTGTACACAATATACTCCGGAAACAGAATTGGCCAGGCAGCCTCTAGACATCTGTTATACGAACGGACCCAATCTCGTACCGATAGAGCAGTTCGGTAGCGTCGTAGACGCAGTCTTACAGAAGGCACCAAAAGTGATGGATTTATGCAGTAGTAACCAGAAGCATCGGGAATGTGCAAAGAGGCACACGGCAACGTAGGCTAATTCAAGGCAAATAGCATGAGAATAGTTTATTCTAAAGGCCGACAACATCTTCTGAACAACAGTAACGAGTGGTGCAGCGCAGCGAAGGACGGACCGCGCTGTATCGCACCCGGATGCCTAGACCCGTCGATAGCTGATTATAGTATCTCACGAGGCCACGTAGGCTTGCGATTTCGATGTCGCCGACGAGTAGTAGAGTGTGCACCACCGAAAAGTGTCGGAAAAGGAAAAGATCATTCAGTGCGACTCTATATTTTCGACTAATGTTTGACTGCGGCCGGGGGAGATTTCGACTGAGATTACTGCTGAAGCAAGCAACCCCCTCACCAATGAGACTGGACCTTAACCTGGTGCGATGGTTTATGTGCCTCAGTGATCCATTGAGCAGTGCTGACTGGTGCTTCTCGCACCTTCAAAGTCACTCATACCAGATTAGTCAATGGCTAGAGGCCAAACAAACTCAGTCTGCTGGTCCTTCAGGCTGGGTGTTGGAGTAAGGGTGAATCCTTAAACCATAAAACGGATTATCTGTAGCCCAATGCCAAAGCCGCTGCCTTGCGGTAGGGTTTTTTGAACCATAGGCTTAAGTTGAGAACCCTAATCGTTCTCCTGTCTAGATCTGGGCAGCCTCACAGTATCCTGCCCACGCAATACTATGAACCATTTTCCTAACGATTTCTTGAGGCTCTGGTAGTCGCAGAGGATATTCAATGACGCCCTAACTGTTGCATCGAGCCGAGTGAATAGAGGTTTGGATGCTACTGCCCAACCCTTCCCGTTTTCTAATCCTCCTCTTGCGCTTTTTTCACCCTTACCGTCCCATTCCAACTTCACTTTTATCACCCTAGTTTTAAAACCCCAATTCATGGCTCTCTACACCTTGCTTTGATAGGTGTTTAACCTCTAGTCTCAACTCACATCCAAACGCGGAGCGTCACTCCTGCAATGTCGACAAACCCATGTCCAATCACGCGGACAAGCCCAGTTCATCGGCTTCTATTTGGAGCTCTCGACCCACCCTCAGATTGACATGCCCCAATGTGCGCTCATCGACACAGATCGGTCAACAGATAGCAGTTGCCCGAAAAGTAGAGACCCTCAAGATCGATAGCTGCCACCTACCGTAAACCCGCCTGCAAGACTCGAGCTGTGTGCTGGCTCTGCGACTTCCTTAAGGTGACATTAACAGTGCTTTCTCATTGTGCCTATCCGATGATATGGCTTCGAGTGCAAGCCAAGCCAGTGTTGGTATTGCCCTGAGTCTCCGGGCTGGAGCTGCTCTGGTCGATTGGATCTGAATCAGTAGCTAGATGTGCGCCGCCCGAGTAGTTGGCAGGTTCAAAGCTTCGAAGTTGCGCGGATGTAATAGGTGCCTGTGTGCCATCGCTGCCCACGCCTTCACAAACTGTAGCGCGGACTCGGTGATAGACGACTTCTACCACAAAGTAAAAACGCTCCTTCGTTACAAAAGAAATACAGACACTGTAAGATTGTATGGTGGTCTGGACACAAGTTAGAAACTTGTCTTCTGATGAGCTTTATCTAGGCGGACAATGCGGTGCAGGCTCCCTTAATGATAACGGGGAGCAGTTGCTACACCTGTGTGAAGATACTCACCTATTTCTCGCGGGCACTGACTTCCGACACTGCACTTGCAGAGGAGTGACATGACGCGCACCAGCCTCAGAACAGTGATGGACCTAAATCGATCACATTGCGATCAGCTATCGATGGAGAAGCTGCGTCCAAAACTGTCGTTCGATTTAGAGCACATGTGTAGACATCGACCATGCACTAGGATGTGCTGCTCTACGGATGCGTTTTGGAGGACACCCGCGACGACGATGTGAGCGCATAGATAGCAGCCAACTGGCGAAGCCAAATGTTCTAAATGCGTATCGAAATACGCTGACATTCGAGTTGAGCAAGCGCCTACCGAATATAGTTGAAGGTCACTGGTCGCATGTTTTCCAGCAGATAAATCTTCATGTGGTGAATCTAATTGCCAACATGGACATCGAGTCCCTACGCAGCCTCTAGAAGGTAGCGATGCTCGCCGGCACATTCCGGATGGAAGCGAACACAACGAGACTCGCAAAGACCTCAGGGCAAAACTACGTGGAAGTCTGAAGAGAAACTG